TGGGCTCCTTTCTGGTGGAAGTTTTCTCTGGTTGTTGTGATTAGGCAGGGCCAGCTGAGAGAAGGAGGTGGACAGAGGGATTAGCGGACCTCCCTAAATTCTTGAGTTATTCTTCCCAAAGAATCTCCCGAAGTATCTGAGGTCCAGAAATATCAATGACATTGGGGCTTAGAAAAATGATAGGCCAAACTTGCCTTAAGGCTAAACTGAAGGTCCCAGAAGCAGACTCAGAAGCAAAGTTTCTCTTTCATCTTCACCTACCCTCCTGTCTCTCACCTTTTATTCTCCCCCAAGGCAAGCCATAGAAACTGGAATCCCTCTTCCCCAAGGCAGGTCATAGAGACCAGAACCCCATTTTCCCAAAGCCAGTCATAAAGCCTAAAGCTATTACACTAATCCCACCCCCCACCCACTTCTCCTGTCCTTCTGGGTCACAGCTGGCCATAACAAAATTAATACCCTTATTCCAGAAGAGATCTATCCCACACCTGGAAGGAAGTAAGGTGGGAGGCAGGACTTGACTCCAGAGGCAGGGCTTGAACACTGCACCAAAGGGAGAACTAGCTAAAACAGGGCCAGGGTGGAAGCAGCGTTCCATAAGACACGCCCTCCAGTGTGCCATGTTGGCTTACCATCGCTATGGCAACACCCAGGAGTTACCACCCCCTTCTACGACACTGAGCCAATGATGCAAAAGTTACCACCCTTTTCCTAGCAATTTCTGCATAAACCACCCCTTAATCTACATATAATTAAGAGTGGGTATAAATATGACTACAAAACTGTCCTGAGCTGCTAATCTAAGCACACTGCCTATTGGGTAGCCCCACTCTGCAGGAGCAGTAACAGAGCTGTAACGGTGCCAGAGCTGTAACACTCCTTCTTCAATAAAGCTGGCTCACCCTTGAATTCTTTCCTGGGCAAAGCCAAGAACCGTCATGGGCTAAGTCCCACTTTGGGGCTTGCTTGTCCTGCATCAGCAGGAATGCTGCACAGAGAGGGCAAGAAGCATCTGATAAGACAGGCCTTGATGGGTTTCCCGTCTCAGTCTGTTAGCATTCCATCAGACTTTCTGTGTAATCATATTTCTACAGAGCTGTTCATACTTCACTGAGCCTAAGCATAAACATGAAAAGTTTTCTGTGTATCTTCAGGTCTTCATTCTGAAGGCCTGAATGTCACATAAAAATAAGATCAAACATATTTGTTATGCTTTTCTCTTGTTAATATGCCTTTGTTACAGAAGTGTCAGCTCTGACCCTTAGGATGGGAAAGGGATCGCCCCTTTCCCACCCCTAAAACAAGGTAGCCTATTTCAGCAAATAAAGATACAGGACTCCTAGTGAAGTTTGAATTTCAGGCAAATAATAAACAATTTTTCTTTTCTTTTCTTTCTTTTTTTTTTTTAGTATAAGTGTGTCTCACTTCAGACTCACTTGAGACACACTTATAAGTATGATAAGTCCTCACTTAGGGACAGACTTAATGCTCAAAAATTATTTGTTGTTTATCTGAAAATTCAAAGTTAACTGAATATCCTGGTGTGCGTGGCAGGGGAAGGCTAATGCAGGAGGAGAGTGCCCAGTCTCTGGCCTCAGACCACTGCCCTTGTGGAGTGGTCCCATCATGTGAAGGACAAATGTGACATTGCCCATTCTCAAAAGCTACTCCAGGTCATCAGTTGAAGAAACTGTGGGCCTCTTACATCTCTGACTGAAACAACATTCTTTCTTCTTCTTTTTTCTTTCTTTTCTTTTTTTGGAGACAGTCTTGTGCTGTTGCCCAGGCTGGACTGCAGTGGAGCAATCATGACTCACTGCAGCCTTGACCTTCTGGGCTCAAGTGCTACCCCCGCCTCAACTTCCCAAAGTGTTGCTGTTACAGGCATGAGCTCGCCCTGTAACAACATTCTGTCTGTCTGTCTCTTTCTTCATTTTTGGACAGACACTGGATAAGTTTGTATAATATAAATAGTATCCTCTAATATAGAATATGCAGATCCCAAAGAAAAATCAAACCCAACGGGATCAGGAATCAAGGAGCAGCAAAGAAATATTTTTCCCATGGTCACCTGGCTTCCTGTCCTTTTTTGTGGCCTCTGGATTTAGGGACCAGTGGGTTGCTTCCTGGCTTTCTCCTCTTTCTAACTTCTGGTCCTCTCAGAAATTTCTCAGATTCCGCAGAATAAAAACTGGACTGCACAAAGTTTCTACATGCATCAGATAATTGCAAACTAAATGTAACAACTAAGTGTTGAACCATGTTACATGCCCACGCATAATTCAAAAAAAAGTAGGAAGAATAATTTAATAAACTTAAGAGTTTGAAACCAATATAAGTAGGCTCTTGGCCTCCGAAGAAGCCAGCAAAAGTACTGTGCTTGATTGCCTTTACAAATCAAATGGGTCAGTATCTGAGAGCATTTCAAAGCCTTCGCAAAATAGAGTTGACACATCATAATCTTTTAATGGCATATATTCCCATTAGCATCAACTGCTGCATAAATAATGTTCATTATGGTGATTAGAAATGTTAATTTCTTAGTGCAATCATACTTTTCTTTAATCTTCTGTGGCAGTGTTTTTTTAAACTGCAGGTTATGACTCATTAGTGGGTCATGAAATCAATTTAGTGGGATATAATCAGCATTTAAAAGACTAGAATAGATTGAATAGAAAATATCCAATTTCACTGCATATTGCAATTGCATATTGTCAATGTAAATATTATTTCATCTACTTTAATTTCAATTTTCCAAATACATATGTGTAACTATTTGGTTATAATATAAAATGTATTTCGTATGGTATGTCATGCTGAAAAATGTTGGAAAACAACTATTCTATAAAACAACGAATAAATTCTAAGGCTGAGCCAAATGTGAATCACAACTTAAAGTCTCACAAAGTCATGAAAGAGGGAGAAAATATTTTCAGTAGAAGATATTATGGCCAATATGTTTTTATCAATAATTGGATCACTTTCCCATTTGCTATGAGTTTTGTTCAAGGTTGTAAATGTGGTGCTTCATTTCTTATCAGTGGGAAAGGGATGCTTTGTGTATCTCTATGCATAAGTGAGGGCTATGGGGTCAGACTGTCTCTACCATTTACTGGCCAACTTATCTTGAGCATGTTACTGAATTGCTCTATGCCCCAATTTCCTTATTTATAAAATAGAGCTTGTAAAGTCTGGTAATTGAACTCTTGTAAAGAATAAACAAATGTATACATGGAAAGGGTCCAACACAGTGTTTGGTACATAGTAAATTCTCATTAATGTCAGTTACTGACATTATTACTTTAAAATATCTTTATTTGAGAATGGCAAATATAGGGTAAGTTATCTCAAATTTTTATTTTTGTCTCTGATAAGGGGAGAGTGGGGCCTGCAGTATGCTTTGTGGTTCAGTCCATGCCTGGTCCCTGGTCCTGTGATTCTTCTGCAAAGCCTTTGTATTTCTTAGTTCATTGGGATACAATGCTTTAGAGCAGCAGTTCTCAAGCTGGACACATGATATGATTCATGGGATTGCAAAACTTCTAAATTGCAATCAGGATTTTGAATGAATGTGTATATATACACTTGGAGAGTGGGTGAAGAGAACTGACAAACTAGTATTGTCAGAGGGGTCACATGGTATAGTGAAGAGTTAGACATACTCGGACCTAAGGCCAAGCTTACTAAATAGCATTTTAACCTTTAGCGAGTTACTCAACTTCCTGTAGCTCAACTTACTCCATCTGTAAAATGGGGATTAAAAATAGCTCGTATATCATTTGGTTGTTGAAATAAATAATGTTTACAGTATTTGTAAAGAGTTTAGCACAGTAGCACATGATGGGTCCTCAAGAGAACATTAATAGTGGAAGAAAAGTAGATACACTGGAAAATAAATGAAATAGTTGGTATTCTGAGTTTTAATTTTGGAATGCTGAATCTATCTATCACTGAATCATTGAGTAATCCACTCATCCCTTCATTTATTAAACAAAACTTGATTGAATGTTGCCATATGTTAAGGATTGTGTGAGATGTTAAGAAGGTAGTAATGAATGACACACATTCTCTGCCCTATCTAGGGAGATGACAAACAGGTAGTGACCAACCATGATGCTACAGCAGACCAACAAACTATGGAGCTAAGAGAGAATGTAGGAGACATTTCTAACTCACAACCACATTCAACAAGGTCTGTGGTTTTGTTTTGTCTTATAGTTTTCAGTTTGAATTTCAGCACTGAACAGGGGAAACTTTCTTCTGTTTATTTTAACACTGCAAATTATTAGTCAAATGTAATGTACTTAGTAAAGCACAGGAAGGATTTAATCCACAGAACCTAAAGGAAACTGCTCTTCATATGGCTCCAAGTATGAGAACAGATAGATGAGGACTTTGTAGTATTGGGACTAGAGAACAGGACAAATACCCACCTTCAAAACAAGTTACAACTCAGAGTATTACCATTTTTGCCTTGACTTCCAGGAAGCTTAAATTTAATGCTCTATTATAACAAGTACAGTACCATAATTTTTTTCTTCTCCTTCCTCTCAATGGTTTTTAATTTTCCATTTTAATGTATTATTATGTGTTTTAAGGTATTTATTATTGTGTGTATATATATCACACACACATATACACACATATGCCATATCAAATGGTTTTTGAAAGTAGATAGGGTAAAAATTACTATTAAATAACCTCAGATAACATTACATCTTACATATTATGTCAGCCTTTTAATTTATGTATGTTTATAATTCAATGGACATAACTAAACTGTAGCATATTTAAATCTTATAAAATTGAGTCACACTATAGCATCTATTTTAGGAGAATTTAATAGCAGTAACTGTCTTACAGGAGAGACCCCTATGTTACCAATAATTTATTGTGTCATAGTATCATTTGAGATTATATCTATTATTAGGAGACATAAGGTCACTGTATTAATTCGTTTCAATTATTTTTGCACTCTCTCGACACAGAAACTCTTTTACCTTTGAGTAAAGCTGTCAGGATAGCTAAATCAATGTCCTGGTGTCCTTCTGATCCCATCCGAAATACCGTAATCTGCAATTTGAGACAAGGTGATCATTAGCAAAGCATTTTGCCCCCAAGAGAAATTAAATCAATGAGACCACATCTGAGCAGAGACTATCTCTATATCTACAAAGTAGATTCTTAGCCACAGGGCAAGCACACATAACAAGAATCCGATGAGAGGGCTCTGCAATTTATTAAGAGGGAGATGCCTCAGTAGTTTCCAAACACAGACCACTTATAGTTGCACTGATTATGGTCATAACCATATGTCTCCCATTATGGTCTAATGGTTGTGTTCCCCCAAAGTGCATATGTTGAAACCTACTCACCAATGTGATGGCTTTAGGAGGTGGGGTCTTTGGGAGGTCATTAGGTGATGATTAATAATCATCATAAAATTAGTGCCATTATGAAAGGCCTCTCCCTTCCACCTTCCACCACGTGAGGACACAGCTAGAACTGCTGTTTATGAACCACTTGAATCTGTGCTGCCTTGATTTTGGACTTCTGAGCCTCCAGAACTGTATGAAATAAATCTCTGTTGTTTGTAAGCTACTCATTTTATAGTATTTTGTTATAGCAGCCTGAATAGACTAAGACAGCCTGCTCCCCCAACAAAAAAATAAAACTATGATTTTGGGGCCCTTGCTATGAGTCAGGCATAGCAATGCATATTTTAAAATATGTTACCTTCCATTCTTTCTGGTTTTACGTAAATACATAAAATAATTATATGAATTACGTGAGGATGGATATATATGACTAGGTAATCTAAACACCATTAATATGAACATTTATGTTAGATATAGATGGAGAAATTAATACAGCTAAGCTGTCCAGTTCCAGAACTCCTAAATTGTACAGCACAGCTGGTCACAGACCCATTTAGTAGAGCAGAGGCTACTTCAAGCAGAGTAAGTGGGTAAAGTCCATTACAGTGTTGGTGGAGTACATCTGGCTTTGTATTTGGCCCTAGAACACTGAGATTGTCACAGAGTCCATTGATTGACTGATGTGGACATACAGTGGCTGACATGATGGAGTATCATTTTGTACATAAACAACATAGTTATGTGGCCTCAGGCATAACTTTCAACTTCCAGGGCAGTGATAACTAATGGCAGAGAAAGAGGGAAAGGAAAAGTTCCAAACAACGCTTAACAATAATGAAGAGTTTGTTTTCCAAGTCAGAGGAGGCTATACGAAAAAAAGCCAAAATATTGCTTGAATATCCACATTGAGTTATTATAGTACTCAACTGTTTCATGCCTCAAGCTTATCTCTAGAATGAGATAATAATAGTGCTTATTTATTTCCAACTACATAGGAAGTAAACAATCAGATTTGCTAATCTGTAAGTCTAAGTTTTATCACTATGGTAGTGAGAATAGACACACAGAACCACAGACTGTTAATTAGTTGCCTCAGAAAACTTCTAGATCACCACCTAAGGACAAGGTAACTTGTTTAAGGTCACACAATGAGCTAGAAGAACAGCTGTGACTGGAATTGAATAGCTCTTACCTTTATAACTTGGGCCTTAAATATTGGGGAAAAAATAAGCAGAGGGAAGAATAAGATAATATGAACACTTGACTCTCGTACCTGTTTATGTCCTAAGGTCAGAGCCTGGGAGGAGGGTAAGGCAGAAATTGCAAATTGAAATGCCTTTATAGATATTTGAACTAAAAACAATTTTTTTTTTTTTTTGAGACAGGGTCTTGTTCTGTCACTCAGGCTGGAGTACAGTGGTACGATCATAGCTCACTGCAGCCTCAGTCTCCTGGGTTCAAATGGTCCTTCCACTTCAGCCTTCTGAGTAGCTGAGATTACAGGCATGCGCCACCATGCCTAGCTTCCTTCCTTCCTTTCCTTCCTTTTCTCTCTTTCTGTTTCTCTGTCTTTCCTTTTTTTTTTTTTTGGTAGAGATGGGGTTTCATTATGTTGCCCAGGCTGGTCCTGGACTCCTGGTCTTGGCCTCCCAAAGTGCTGGGATTATAGGTGTGAGCCACCATGTACGGCCCTGATCAAAAAACTTAAAAAATACAAAGAGCCAAACAAACTCCATCTATCTGCTATATTTGGATCACAGGTTATAGCTGTGATCTCTTCTGGTAAGGACCATCAGGTGGAGGTGTGTCCCAATTCAATTAAATCTTCCAGAAATCTGCTTCTGCATAACCACAGGTTTGGCTAAGACGCCATCTGGACATTATCCCAAACAGCTATTAATACCCCCACAGTTTCCACTTGAAAGCTGAGAGGGAACTGTTCTATCCTCTGAACTCGGGAAGGGATTCCTGAATTAAGGGGAAAATTTGGGGTCCACTGGAGAAAGAACCAGGGGACAGAGGTGAAATTTTGGCTGGCCCTTTAAGTCAGCTCTTTAAGCCAGGGCTGGCTATGGTCTGAAAGATATTATCATGTATCATGTACTTGCCTGGCAGCAAACTGAGGACACTCAGGATAACATCAGAGTTCATTGTTCAGAATTAAGAAATTAGGCATCAAATGGAATTCCTTAACCACCTGACTTGTTCTGCTGATGACTAAAATTTTGCTTCATAAAGGTCACATTTCAGATGGAAATTCTTCTGAGGCAACAAATAGATAACATTAAATTTACCCTGAAATACAAGATTATCAGGTTTTCCTAGCAACAGATTTATTTGAGGTTGGGGAAAAGAAGATGGGTAAATGCGGTGTTTCTAAAGGGTTTCTGGGGAAAGGGCCTTGGAATATTATGGTAAAACAGGGCTTCACAGTTTTTCTGGAAAACCAATGTGGGGGCAATTGTTGCTCCCCTGTTCATGCCCTGTCCTTGTCCTGGTTTCACAACCAAAGCACCTGGGAGTGACCCAGGGTGTGGGAGGAAGGATGTCTTAAAAAGAGGAAAAGGGAGGACCAAGGGGAGACTGGAGGCTCCAAAGACAAAGTTACATTATAATCTTGCCTGGACTGACCTGAGATACTATGTATTCATCACCACTCCATTTTTATTTTATTTGAAATTTGAATGTTTGAAAATATTAATTACACATTTTTTTATATAAGCTTCAGAAAAAAAAGTCAAAGAAGAAAAACTAAGGCCTTCCTTTCCTATCACCCCTCAGTGTTGGCAGAGATGGAAAAAACAGGTATTCTTAAATATTCTTGGAGGGAATGTGAATTAAAATAGTAGTTTTGGGAGATGATACGTTGACATAAAATTCCTTGATTTTGATGCGTTATTCTTAGCAACACTGGATCTCATTTGCTAATATTTTATTTAGGATTTTTGCAATGATGTTTGTGAGTGAGGTTGGTACATGTCACCAGTCTTATCTGGTTTGGGTATTAGAGTTACTCTAACTTGCTGACTTGGGAACATTTTCCCCCTCATGTAGCAGAATAGTCCCTATAACAAAGGAATTCACTACTTCTGGCAGAGTTAGTAGGATGTTTATATACTATTTGGGGCTGGACCATTTTTACGGATAGATTGCTGATCATCTTTATAATTTATTCACCACTTATTGATCAGTTTAGATTTTCTGCCTCTCCTTGACTAAAGTTCATGTTTTTCCAGATAATCGAGCATTTCATCAACATTTTGCTAAATGTTCATTTTAGGATGAAATAAAATATTACCAAATAAGATCCAGTGTTGTTAAGAATATCAAAATCAAGAAATTTTGCGTTGACATATCATATTCCAAAATTTCAAATTTTCACTATTATTGTTCAGGGGTCAATCACTTAGTCAAGCATTATATGATAGAAAGTGGGCTGCCTGAGGTTAGACATTATTTAAAAAATTTTTTGGGGGGTAATTGTATGGGTAAATACATATTTTGCTATTATTTAAAACTATTTAAAGGACAACTGACTTTTACAACAATAATAATACATTGTAGAATTTATAACATATATATGTAAAATGTATTATAGCATTAGCATAAAGGCAGGGAAAGGCAACAGAAGGGCACAATTTTAAGGTTTTTACACTATCCATGAATACTGAAAAGTAGACTGTGAAAAGTTATGCTGTAGGTCCCAAAGCAACAACTGCAGTAACCACCACTAAATTACTTTTTAAAAAACAACAAAAGAGATGAAGTGAAATAATAATACTCCCAAAGAAGACAGAGAAAAAGAAATAACAAAGCACAGATGGAACCAATAAGAGGATGATAGGCTACTTTTTGAGACTTGGTATGAGTGTGACATATTTGAGCCATAGGCAGCACTAAGGCATGTTTCACTAATACATTTGAAACTTTGGTTCCATATAGTTTAAACTTTAAGACTCAAAGCAGGAATATATTACAGAGAAACCAAGAAGAAATGTGGAAATAATTTTATGTATGAAAAGATTTGGGTTCATTTTCTAAGAAACAAATAGGCATATTCACCACCTAAATAACAAAACATAGTGTATGTGGCTGAGTTAGTCACGGACTTTCCATTTCTAAAACTCAGCAGGTCTTACTAGTTAAATAAGGATATAAAAAATATTGGGACAATGAAATTGACTCACTTTCAAGGTATCTATCAATTAACTTAATTTGTGATTTATATATATGCCACAGTGAGCAATGAATCCGTGAAAACAGAGATGAAGATTGAATAGAGCTTTTGAAAATAAAAATAACCATGATATTAGAGTGAAAAGCATCTATAAGCTGCAAGGACACTTTGGTTCAATCTATCAAAAATATAAAGGAACACTCTACAATCATTTCATTCTGTGTTAGATATGTAAGAAATGATATCTGAGTTTGACAAATGGTTTGTAACATGTCTGAGAAGTTTAGAAATATACTCAGAGCTATACAATAGATAATCAACAAAGACGGTTCTTATCATCTAAGAATTTAGAAAAGTCCACCTATAATCATGTTAACAATAGGCTTGAGGACACTAAAAATGGTACATCTTGGGCTTTCATAAACTAATCTCTGAAATGTTTCCTATTTTCCTATTCAGTTTTTTCATAGAATCTGGCAATGTGTTTCCCAAGGATAGAACCAGGGAAACAGGAAGAG